TTTAAGCTGGTCCTTTGCTGGTTTATGCTGGTCCTCTGCTGGTTTAAACTGGTCCTGGTTTAAGCTGGTCCTTTTGCTAGTTTATGCTGGGGTCCTTTTGCTGGTCCTTTGCTGGTTTATGCTGGGGTCCTGCGTCAAAACATACCTAACCAGCATATGCTGTTTTTTTCAACAGGGGTGGGGGAAAAAACATACATAGAATGCAACATGCTTTTGCTCTCGGCCCCTGCACTTTTCATCCGCACGCGCTCTACATTCCTTTACAGATTTCGCGGGTTCTCAATATTTAAAAGTTAACGGTTATTAATTTTAATCGGCTTGCGGATTCATATTCTCTTTTGAATAGTTTGTACAGTATTTGAAAAATAATGTGTTTTTTGAACATTAAAGCATGTCAACATATTCTGTTACACCAAATACACAAAATAATGATCTTTAAAAAAGCATCATATGACCCCTTTAATCTAAAAAATAATAACCAGCACGACTATTAAATTATTAAATAAAAAGTACATCCCTTTTGTTTTGTATGTTTGTTCCATCCAATAAAGAGTAAATGAAATTAGCATTGCAAAACATTAAATGCAAAATTGCTATTTAACTATGAATCCAACCTTCCTCTACACAGTGTGTGTGTGTGTGTGTGTGTGTGTGTGTGTAACAGGGATCCTCAAATCTGGTTTAGCTCCAACCCTGATCAAGCTCACCTATACCTGTGATTTTCTAGTGAGCCTGAAGACATTGATTAGCATGCTCAGGTGTGTTTGACTAGGGTTAGAGCTAAACTCTGTAGGAAAGTGGATCTCGCGAGCCAGATTTGAGGATCCCTGGTGTAGAATATAAAGCTTAATTATGTGATTCTATACCCATTTAACAGACTCATATTTGCTTGATTCTGGTTAAAATAATAATAATAATAAAACATTATTACCTTTGTTCCAGGGCTTGAGTGTGCCGTTTCCAAAACAATATATGTTCAGAATGTCCAAGTTAACACATTATCACATGCAATTTATTACATTTACCAATGATTTCCATTGTTTCTCACAATTTCTTTCTTAGTGCATATCAAGGCGGTCTAATACACTTGCAGAAAGCTATCCATTAGTAGTCCCATATATCTCAATAGCAGCTGCTCGGCTATTGTACGTCCCCCCCCGGCAAACATCTGCTATAATATCATTAAATTATTTAAAAGATTTAAAAGTTGCTCAGAGAAAAAAAAAAAGTGAAAATATATAACTACATTTGAATAGGTGCTTTTTGCCCGCAGAATGGTGTAGTTACAGCATCATTGTCCTGCTTTGCCAAACACGACTAAAATCACAGCATTCAACATTCAGTCCATCTCTACTCCCAATTCACATGAAAGCTCAATGTGACTGTCTCCTACTGGCATTAAAAACTCAATATACAGTTTCAGGATAAGCTAAATGAGTCCTGTTTCCAGAGACTGACTGATGAAAGTCACTCAGATGATTCTGGAGCAGTTTGTTCTTTAGCGTGTTTGTTCTGGTGGGTCTGAAAACCCCCTAAATAAGCGAATCTCTCGCCGCAGATGGAGCAGGAGTAAGGTTTCTCTCCTGTATGAACTCGCTCATGGATCTTCAGGACGTCTGATCGAGCAAACGTCTTGTCGCAGTGAGAACACTTGAACGGTCGTTCTCCGCTATGAATCCTCTGGTGCTTCAGTAGGTTAGTGTGTTGACGGAAACTCTTCCCGCAAACACTACATTGGTACGGTTTTTCTCCCGTGTGAATTCTCTGATGGACTCTGAAATGAGCTGGATCGGAAAAGCTCTTCCCGCAGTGGGAGCACAGATACGGTCTCTCTCCAGAGTGCATTCTCTCGTGGCGTTTCAGCTGAGAGATCTGACGGAAGCGTTTGTCACAGTGTGTGCACTGGTGTAGTTTCTCAGAGTGGATTTTTTGGTGTGATATTAGACAAATGGGCTGCTTAAAGGTTTTCCCACATTCGCTGCACTGGTAAGGCCTCTCGCTGGCGTGCGAACGCATGTGTGTCTTGAAATGGGACCCATCTCTGAATCTCTTCTCACAGTGAGGGCACTTGTACGGCTTTTCCCCCGTGTGGATTCGCTTATGAACAAGAAGAGATTGTTTGGTGCTGAAGTACTTGTCGCACTCGCTGCAGTGGAAAGGCTTTTCGCCAGTGTGCGTCTTCATGTGAATTTTCAAATTACCAGAAGAGAAGGCAACCTTCCCGCACTGTTCACAGCGAAACTCCTTCTTCACCCTGTGCTCTTTTGAATGAAGTCTTCTTTCTTTTAAGGTAGGAAAGCTGATGTTGCATCTCTTACACATGTAGTCTTTCGGTTCTGTGTGTTTTCTCTCATGCCTCGCTAAATTTCCCTGCTTGCGGAATGTTTTCCCACAGGTGACGCAGGAGAAGCTCTTGGCCGTCGGCTGCTCTTTGGATGTTGAGGCCATTTCTACATCAAAAGACGAACTGGCGTTTTCACCTGAGAGGAACAAAGTAAGATTTCTATTAACTTTGACTTGCATGTCCCCAACACACAAAACATGAAAGCAAATATAAATTCTGAAAATATATTTCTGTGTATAACATGATCACTCCCAAACATCTCCATAAACCTCACCATGTCATGGAGTGTTCCTACAGGTAACATTGTACGTACAAGCCAAAAACCATGTGGACCTGCCAACTTAAGCTTGAAGAAACTTTAAATGAACTGTAAACCATGTAAAACCATTTGTTGATGCACCAGTTAGGAAGAAACATACCCGAGGGATTAAAGTCATCATCATCGTCACTTTGTACTTTCTCCGCAGTGGTTTCTTCTCTCGTCTCCTTCGAAGTCCTGCAGTCCACCAGTTTGACGGAGCACATCTTCATCGGCGTCTGCAGTTCTCCAGCGTTACAGTCAGACGCCAGAGACTCTGTGGAGTTGTGGTCAACGGATCCACGACTGTCACACACGCTCTCCTGAGCGTCAGTATAACAGAGCAAACTAAGGCTGAGCTCTGAGTCCTGTGTGTTTCTGGACCTACGATCAGAGAGTTGCTCTGTGGGCTGATCTCGGACACTCCAGACTGGATCCTGAGAGTGAAGAAAACAAGATATATCAGCTGAATCTGACACTGTAATCGTGAGTTGACTTTGGGAACTCGATTAGAAGTTATTGACGTGAAAGATGAAATGATGATCTGTTCAAACCTCTCCTCTTTCTCTCAGCTTTGCCTCCAGTGAAGCCACCTCTTTCTTCAGCTGACAGATTTCTGTGATGAAATACTCAATATCCAGCATGGACAGATCAGTTCCTACTGATTTACAGCAGACCACATCCACCTGCGCTTTCATGCTCAGCATCTGAACACACACACAGCAGGATTATTAAAGATGCATTTATAATGAACTGACACTGAATTAACCTCAGAATGATTGTTCACGGTTATCAACGAGAGCAGAACTGGTCTATTATGTTGGAGAGCGTTCAGAAATGTGTTTAGGCGTTTATGTTTAGTTTGATTTTTGAGCTAGCGTTAAGCAGAAACATTGCATGATGCGTAATCTTCATTGAACGCTTTAATATTCTGTGAAAGCATTTAATAAACTCGTGTAGCGTTCGACACAAAAAGGGGGAAATAGCTTAATTTACATAATCAAAACAATACACAGACGAAATCAATGATCCCATAGAGAGATCAAGAATATAAATCGAACATACAAATAAACACAACTCTGGTAAATGTCGTAAAACGCACTAAAAACACGCACCGGTCGAGGGTTCACACTGCAAGCTCTGCTTTCGGTCGTTCTGTGGTTTGTTTACTCTCTCTGAAGAGCCTCATAGCGCCTCCGTCTGTGCTGGAGCGAGACACGGCTCTACAGACATCTGATTAAGAAATAAGATCATACCTCATTAAACCTATACATATGATCTTGCTCCTAGTTTTGAAGAAACTAACTAGTGAGAATTCGCCACTGTAACTGAATGGTATTTTTGAATGAGAGAAAGACGACTTTGACCGCTTGTTATTTTCTCACTCCATCGCTCGTCCTGTAGGAGGCGCTGTGACGATCACTAGTCCACCGGTAAAACCACCGAAGAAAGAAGGTTGGAGCACTCTGGTGTGCTTTTAATGTGTTTTACTTGATTTTTTGCGTTTATTTGTGTATGTGCATGTTGTTTTTCTGTCTTTAGTGTAATTACCTTCCCTGTTGAAAAAAACAGCATATGCTGGTTAGGTATGTTTTGATGCTGGTTTAAAATGGTCCTTTGCTGGATTTTGCTGGTTTATGCTGGTTTAAGCTGGTCCTTTGCTGGTTTATGCTAGACATGTGCTGGCAAAGGACCAGCATAAACCAGCAAAGGACCAGCATAATCCAGCAAAAGGACCAGTTTAAACCAGCAAAGGACCAGCTTAAACCAGCAAAAGGACCAGTTTAAACCAGCAAAAGGACCAGCATAAACCAGCAAAGGACCAGCTTAGACCAGCAAAAGGACCAGCATAAACCAGCATAATCCAGCAAAAGGACCAGTTTAAACCAGCAAAGGACCAGCTTAAACCAGCAAAGGACCAGCATAATCCAGCAAAAGGACCAGCATAAACCAGCAAAGGACCCGTTTAAACCAGCAAAGGACCAGCATAATCCAGCAAAAGGACCAGCATAAACCAGCAAAGGACCCGTTTAAACCAGCAAAGGACCAGCATAATCCAGCAAAAGGACCAGCATAAACCAGCAAAGGACCCGTTTAAACCAGCAAAGGACCAGCATAATCCAGCAAAAGGACCAGCATAAACCAGCAAAGGACCCGTTTAAACCAGCAAAGGACCAGCATAATCCAGCAAAAGGACCAGCATAAACCAGCAAAGGACCCGTTTAAACCAGCAAAGGACCAGCATAATCCAGCAAAAGGACCAGCATAAACCAGCAAAGGACCCGTTTAAACCAGCAAAGGACCAGCATAATCCAGCAAAAGGACCAGCATAAACCAGCAAAGGACCCGTTTAAACCAGCAAAGGACCAGCATAATCCAGCAAAAGGACCAGCATAAACCAGCAAAGGACCCGTTTAAACCAGCAAAGGACCAGCATAATCCAGCAAAAGGACCAGCATAAACCAGCAAAGGACCCGTTTAAACCAGCAAAGGACCAGCATAATCCAGCAAAAGGACCAGCATAAACCAGCAAAGGACCCGTTTAAACCAGCAAAGGACCAGCATAATCCAGCAAAAGGACCAGCATAAACCAGCAAAGGACCCGTTTAAACCAGCAAAGGACCAGCATAATCCAGCAAAAGGACCAGCATAAACCAGCAAAGGACCCGTTTAAACCAGCAAAGGACCAGCATAATCCAGCAAAAGGACCAGCATAAACCAGCAAAGGACCCGTTTAAACCAGCAAAGGACCAGCATAATCCAGCAAAAGGACCAGCATAAACCAGCAAAGGACCCGTTTAAACCAGCAAAGGACCAGCATAATCCAGCAAAAGGACCAGCATAAACCAGCAAAGGACCCGTTTAAACCAGCAAAGGACCAGCATAATCCAGCAAAAGGACCAGCATAAACCAGCAAAGGACCCGTTTAAACCAGCAAAGGACCAGCATAATCCAGCAAAAGGACCAGCATAAACCAGCAAAGGACCCGTTTAAACCAGCAAAGGACCAGCATAATCCAGCAAAAGGACCAGCATAAACCAGCAAAGGACCCGTTTAAACCAGCAAAGGACCAGCATAATCCAGCAAAAGGACCAGCATAAACCAGCAAAGGACCCGTTTAAACCAGCAAAGGACCAGCATAATCCAGCAAAAGGACCAGCATAAACCAGCAAAGGACCCGTTTAAACCAGCAAAGGACCAGCATAATCCAGCAAAAGGACCAGCATAAACCAGCAAAGGACCCGTTTAAACCAGCAAAGGACCAGCATAATCCAGCAAAAGGACCAGCATAAACCAGCAAAGGACCCGTTTAAACCAGCAAAGGACCAGCATAATCCAGCAAAAGGACCAGCATAAACCAGCAAAGGACCCGTTTAAACCAGCAAAGGACCAGCATAATCCAGCAAAAGGACCAGCATAAACCAGCAAAGGACCCGTTTAAACCAGCAAAGGACCAGCATAATCCAGCAAAAGGACCAGCATAAACCAGCAAAGGACCCGTTTAAACCAGCAAAGGACCAGCATAATCCAGCAAAAGGACCAGCATAAACCAGCAAAGGACCCGTTTAAACCAGCAAAGGACCAGCATAATCCAGCAAAAGGACCAGCATAAACCAGCAAAGGACCCGTTTAAACCAGCAAAGGACCAGCATAATCCAGCAAAAGGACCAGCATAAACCAGCAAAGGACCCGTTTAAACCAGCAAAGGACCAGCATAATCCAGCAAAAGGACCATCATAAACCAGCAAAAGGACCATAAACCAGCTCAAATCAGCATCCCAGCGTCAAAACATACCTAACCAGCATATGCTGTTTTTTTCAACAGGGTTATTTATTTATTTTCACCTAAATGATGCCTAATCCTGGTTTTACTACAATAATCATAATTTAACTTGTTATAAAGCCACAGTAACCATAAATTTGCCGTTGTTATACTAGTGATTTTGTTTAAAATATGATATTTGTAATAAAGCCGTGGATTAGCACACTGTTTAATTTTCAGTCCTGGACACTCTTAAAGAATGCTTAGAAATGGGTACAAATCTTAAAATATCGTGCTAATGATGATGAGGAAGATGATGATGATGAGAATAATGGGAATGATGAAGATGAAGATTTCATTCCTCCAGGTTTGTTTCTTCCTTTTATGACACTTGAATGTCAGCAGAGTCTCTGCAGGATCAGGTTTTTATTGGCTGTTGGTCTCTGATGATCTGATCAGGTTTGAGTTAAGATATTCTGAGATATTTGGGAATATAATGGCATTTTGATGGAGATTTTGATCTAGAATGTGTTTTTTTAAGAGAGACTGCACGGTTTGACCAAAAATCTAATTTCAATTATTTTTGTCATGATATAATTATAGTTAAATTATAAAATCATGAAAGAAATACATTTTGATTGCAATAATGCTATTATACTGTAAAATTACATTATAAATATGGTGAAATGAGTGGTGAATGTTGCATTTCCAAACTCACTTTATCAATATCAATATGTCTATGCATGAGTTTATTTAATTAACTTGCAGAGTTTCACACAAACTCTTTTCAAGTATATTTTAAAACCCAGAATTTATAACCATTTTGTTCATTTCAGATGACGAAGGCTGTTCATCTTCTGACGGAGAAACATACTTAACATCAAAAGATCAGCTGATGGTCAAGAGTTTCTCCTGCGCCACCTGTGGAAAAACACTGAGTTCAGAGGGTCATTTAGCGAGACACGAGAAAACACACACAGAACAGAAAGACTTCACCTGTGGGAGATGCAACATCAGCTTTACTACCGCAGAAGAGAGGAGACTTCATTCAAAAGAGCACAGCGGGAAGAAGGAGTTTCACTGTGAACAGTGTGGGAAGGGTTTTTTCATTCATTCTAGTCTAAAAGTTCACTTGAAGACTCACGGTGAAAAGTCTTTCCACTGCAGTGAATGTGACAAGTATTTCAGCACCAAAGGAAATCTTGTTGTTCATAAGCGAATCCACACGGGAGAAAGACCATACAAGTGTCCTCACTGTGAGAAGAGCTTCAATCATGGCTCTCATCTGAAGAAACATGTACGTGTTCACACCAATGAGAGGCCGTATCAGTGCAGTGAATGTGGGAAAACCTACACAGACTCAAGCTCTCTAAAGTCACACCAAAGTATACACTCAGGTGAGAAACCGTTTCAGTGCAAACACTGCGACAAACGATTCCGTCACAAATCCTTCCTGATTTGTCACGAGAGGATTCACACCGGTGAGAAACCGTATCTGTGCTCCTACTGCGGGAAGAGCTTTTCTAGTCCAGTTTATATTGGACTTCATAAGCGAGTTCACACTGGAGAAAAACCGTATCACTGCAGCGTTTGTGGGAAGAGTTTCAGTAAATTTGATACTTTACAAAAGCACAAGAGGATTCATACTGGAGAAAGACCGTTCAAGTGTTCACAGTGTGACAAGACGTTTGCTCGATCAGACATCCTTAAGGTCCATCAGCGAGTTCATACAGGAGAGAAACCTTACTCCTGTTCCATCTGCGGCGAGAGATTCGCTTATTTAGGTAGTTTTCAGACCCACCAGAACAAACACGCTAAAGAACAAACTGCTCCAGAATCATCAGAGTGACTTTCATCAGTCAATCTGGGGGAAAAAACTTGTTCGGCTCATCCTGAAACTGTACATTCAGCTCTTACTGCCAGTAGGGATCAGTGAAATTTGAATGCAGTGAATTGATCCAAGTGCTGTATATAAAGTCATGTTTGACAGAGTAGAGCAATGATTTTATGTTAAATCAGACAGCAGGGGCACCGCTAAGGGGGGGGGAGTTAAGACGATTCTAAGGCCCCACGCACTTTTAGAGCCCCCAGAGATCAGTTTTCTTAGTAGTAAAAGTAGTAGTAGTAGTGTATTATAAATGTATCTACCAAAGAGTTACAAATAAAACAAAACTACGGATTATTTCTGCATTTCCGGCTAAATTATCTCCCCCCATTCACTGCATGGCTTCGTCCCGTCCTACTTATTCTAGAGTCACTGAGTGAGATCAGATGGTAAACTGTCAAATTAGAGATGTCTTCGAGTTCGAGGGGGGCAAACCGAGCCGGACGATTTGGTCAGTCACACTTTTAAACAGTTTTGCTCTAGAAAATCTACAAATTCACACGAATTACGGATGCGCTTCTATTTTGCCACAGTAAACTTGGCAATAAACACATTGAAAATAAAATACAATACAAAGCTCCAGACTGCGACAAAAAATATTAATTTGCGAGTTTAGTTTTTGCTGAGGTCGCCACTGGCGACTATATATATACAGTATCTCACAGAAGTGAGTACACCCCTCACATTTTTGTAAATATTTTATTATATCTTTTCATGTGACAACACTGAAGAAATTACACTTTGCTACAATATAAAGTAGTGAGTGTACAGCTTGTATAACAGTGTAAATTTGCTGTCCCCTCAAAATAACTCAACACACAGCCATTAATGTCTAAACCGCTGGCCACAAAAGTGAGTACACCCCTAAGTGAAAATGTACAAATTGGGCCCAAAGTGTCAATATTTTGTGTGGCCACCATTATTTTCCAGCACTGCCTTAACCCTCTTGGGCATGGAGTTCACCAGAGCTTCACAGGTTGCCACTGGAGTCCTCTTCCACTCCTCCATGA